CTCCATATGCTAGGGTTGTAAAGTATTCGTCAGGATCTTCAAAATGATGTGTCATATGACCCCCCTTTCCATTTAATTTTTTTCCCAGATATCGCCCAGTCGCCATCTTGAAAGTTTCATCTGTCAATTCCACTTCAAAATAAAGTATTCATGCATTAATTTCATTATCCCAAATTTCAATTTTTTGAGTTTACCTGTTCAAAAATCAAGAGGGAGGGACACTATAGAAATGCACTGTATGTTTATTCAAAACCAAAAAAACTCAGTTTCTCGATTAGCAAAGCAAAGAATGTTTGATCCTATCAAGAGCCAAAAAATTATATAGTTCGAATCTACTTACTGCCCCTTCTCCAAGGCTACCAACGAAACTATCATTACTTTATTGGGTTTGTTTAGCCTGAGCTCTTGTCAAATTATCACATGCACACAAAGACTTTCAGTTCCTTTTTTCAATCAGCCAAACTGGCTGAAAAAAAAGTATCCAGAATGAAAGAAATATATATTACTACACAACGAATAAGAAACATTCGTGTTGGTGTACAAAGTCATTACTCGAAAAAAGTAGATGGTAAAAAGTAGACTATCGGATCCATACGAAAAGCAAATTTTCACTTGTCAATATTATTGAAAACTAATGTACCGGGTCTGATGAATTTACTAGTTAATACCATACAAAACATCCTACATAAAAATAATGATTAGACCTCGTATGAGTTCCACGCCGCCCATGCCATACAAAGAAACTGCCGACGTTAGGTAACTATTCAATTTTTATGCCATTCAAATTGACGTATAAACTTGATACTTGATAACTATAAATGTGGAAATATCATTAAGGTACATAGAATAAGTAATTGAGAGACTCATTAATTATATTTGAATACAAGTGAAATGAATGAAACACAAATAAGTAACTCAAATCACTTTATTTATTTTCTTCAGAATAACAGAAAATCATGAAAAAACAGATTCACAGAATCTTAACTAAGAAAAATTAAATAAAAACTGTAACAAATTAAATAATTAAGTAGCTATGTCTTTGTACATGCAGTTAACCATAAAACGAAAAAATAAATATACATAAATTATTGAAAGGCAGGTTTGAAACCGATTCAGTATTATATCGTTAACAATTTGAACATCTTAAAATTTTAACTTAAATTATACAGTATAAAAGTACATTTAACATTAACATATACAACAAAATTGTGGCACAACTTCATGATAATTTTAAAACATTTCTCAACAGGTAACATTAATCGTGGCACACGAAAAACATTAATTTTCAATAAAAAAAATTGTGCCGATTCCACGCCGTGTTACATATAATAAAACTTAAAATTTCGTATATAATAATGCCCAATGGAAACAGAATTACATGAAGAACAGATAAAGACGATTTTTGTCATTCCAATATTAATATTTGTCAATATCAAAAATAGAAAATAAATTTATCAACTACTCTCACAAAAATAAAAAAACAACGAAATGTACAAATATCACAGTATTCGTATATCGTTTGAAATATCTACTGAAGATACACTGCTCGCCACGAAAACTGTAAAGTAAAAGCCAAACTGTGTAGAAGACTGAAAATGGACGTTGTCACTTGATCACTGAGTATATGGCGTGCAGTGTATTTCGTCGAATTCATAAAACACTACATCATGAGCTGGACGAATATCTTATAAACATTTTATTATCCAATTAAAATGTCTTTATGTGCTGCTGTCTTCATGTCATTTGAACTTACATTTTATAACAGTAATGATTCCTGAAACATTGTGAGCCCTTTTTATATGGGAGGCTCTTTAGGATCACTATCAATCATTCACAATGTTGAAACCCCTTCTATTCCCAAGTCCCGTGAGAAATTCACGACACTTTTAATCGTTCTGTCGGTTAGTACATGGCAAAGCATTTTGAACGGTGAACACAGAAGACAGGGTATTTCTAAAAGATTAAATAATCAGTCGATTTTCTTATCGTATACTGTAAGTAACCATAACTGATAATCCTAACTACTTACAAGAAGATGCAAATGTAGCAACACCTTTTGGCTTGATTTTTTATCAAAAAATATTACAAATTCATTCTCTACTCAAGAAAACATTCTATGATGTCGAGGAATTTTATAGTAAAACTCTGCTATGATTTTATTTTGGATATTCTTTTATTGTATGAGATATTTTTTTATATACTAACTCATTTTATCTATATTTGACATACCTATGTTTATTTTTCAACTGATTAGTATAGGATTGTTCTACTTCTGCAAATCTTTTATATATTTAAAAAAGCTCTCTTTAAAATATTTTTCCTAACATGTCTTGTCAATAAGAACTCGATTTCTTGAACAGTAAAGTGTATTTCTCTTTCTCTCAATTTTTTAACATTCAACTGTTGCCTTCAATCAAAAACACGCGAGATTTGTCCACATGTCAGTCTAATAATAAGAAATTGAACTCAAACACTCAAAATATTTAAAAAAATTCCATACCATTACGGGGATGTAGGTATTTCAATATTTAAAGAAATTTTCAAATATTTTTCAAACTATTTTCTGAATTGGAAACTTCGAAGAATTCAGAGCGATTGTACGTACAGTTTGTCTAGAATAGGAAAAAGACCGCCTTAGCTGTGCGCAGAAGACAGAAGTGGAAACGCCCACAGCCCAGTCAGTCGAATTTGTCTGTTGTGAAGTAAGCATCGCGGGTTAACCAAATGTACAGTCTAAGCAGAAATGAAGCGTAAATGTCACAATTTGAGTATTGTAACTTAACCAGGATGGAGTTTAAATCAAACCTAAATCGTAAAGTGCTGACAAGTCAAAAGAAGGAAGTTATAGCCAATGTAGTTTTTTATGCAACGAGAAGCGGCACGACAGAGCTGCTATGGCAACTGGCGTAGGTTAATCAGTATACAGAAACATTCCTATAAAATGCTAATTAATAAAAATTAACGATGCAGTGTTATTGAAAAGTTGGATAAATATTATGTTATCTCGATTATATTTCAGGAAGCGTTATTTTGACACCTCGACACGTGTTTCGATCACCAAGTGATCATCTTCAAGGAAGATGATTAAACTGTTTAGTCTTCCTCGAAGATGATCACTTACTTGGTGATCGAAACAGGTGTCGAGATGCTAAAATAACGGTTTGGTGTTGGGAAAAAACTCCATTAATATTCATCTGAATAGATATTGAAAAGTGAATTGAAACAAGCGTACATTCGAAATCTAAAACTCAGAAATGGTGAAACGAATGAATTCTTGGGATTCAGGGTGGAGATATATTGTATATGGAATACCTATTGTGAACGAATTCTCCGATGAAAATAAAAGATTGCAACTTCAAGCGATACGGGAAAAACGAACTGAGAAACTGAATATTTTAAATGTTCACAAATTTAAAAAAAATGACCATAATAGTCGATCATAAAAATGTATCAATATCACTGTTTATGAACGGTTCCTTCTACCAGGTTTTCATGTCAGAAGATTATCTGATGTCACAAAAAATCCTTCAAAATTTTCTAAATTAGCATGCAAACAAAACATTTTGAGATATTATTCGATCTGATAAAGTTTAAAGTATGCCAACATTTTCAGCTAGCAAAAAAGTGACCATACATTTGCATCATCTTAAAATCACTCAGTCCAAATTCGAATTATTTCTTGCGAGATTCGTTTCTTGAAAAGGGAGTGTATAAAAAACGAGTGATAATCTGGCATCAAATTATTGCCGCTGGCCATCCATTTGGCATTAATATCAATTTGCAACAGCTGTTAGTCAATGCATATAATCAAACTGGCCTGGCAATATTATGAAGCTAGTGGAATGGTCTGAGATCTCCATCAAAAGGCAAAAAATGGCATAGGTGTGGTGCAAGGAGTTCCACCAAAGAAATGTCAATAAGTCGCTCGGTATTGTAATTGTCGAACATTCAAAAGTGAAAAAGTATGCTGAGGTTTACTGCCGCTGCTTTGTGGAAGTCCTTGCTAGCGGTGAAACCAAAAATACTATCGGGAAAATTTCCAGTAGGCGCTAAGACTAGATAACAATTTGTTCAAAACAATATTTTACGTCACAGTGACGAAATCCTCAACAACATCTTATTACTCATATAAATTTGGTCCCAACCAAGTATTTTTGGTAAACACCTCGTCAAATCCAAAACTACTAAGTAACAAATAATAATAACAACACCGGGAGGCTTTCAAAAATTCAATAATCAATGATGCTCAGCCTTGAGTGGTTGCCCAGCAGTGACAGGATCTGGCTCAAACCTCGTATGAGTCCTCATATGTCTCGTGATCATGTCCCTTCTGCAGGCTGCGTAAGGACACTGTGGACACTTGTACGGCTTTTCACCAGTGTGGGTCCTCTGATGCGTGGACAGATGATCCGACCTGGAGAACACTTGACCACACACTCGACACGTGTACGGCTTAACACCCGTATGCAAGCGCATGTGCCGCGTTAGCATATCACTGCGAGCGAAGGACCTCTTACACACTTCGCACAAGTAGGCCTTGGCCGTTGCGTCTCCCCCACTCTGTCTGCTCTTGTGTCTGGACGCCATATGCTTGGCCAAGCGGTCGTGGAGGCTGAACATCTGGCCACAGACCGGGCAAACGTAAGCTACGTCGGAACCAGGAGGCATTTCTTCAACGACTGGAGAGACTTCCAGGTTGTAACGCGACGCTACTGATTCCTTCGTCGTTGGCGAAGCCACATCTCCCTTCACTACAGGTACTGAAACTGGACCGCGAGGTGGCATGAAGCCTGGAGTCAGTAGTTGGAGCTGGGAGGGTACCAGCCCCTCCAAACGCTCTCGACGAGAAGTCTTCATAGAAAGATCTAACGGGGATTCTTGAGGGGATAAAGTATCCGACTCCAGCGACCCTTTACCGCAACCAGTTGACAGCGTGAGAGGATGGGGCCAAACGGGCGCCGCCCTGGCCCTTTCTGCTTTAGCCGTCTCGAACCACAGGGGGATGTCAGAGTCAGATCGGCTCCTCTTCTGGAAAATATCCGGCAAGTATTTGGACTGAAAGTAGTGTTCAAAGTTGTAGCTAGGAGCGGGCGAAGCTGGGGTCAGAGGTGATATTGGAGAAGCGGGAAAAAACCTATCATACGGATGCAAAGGCGGGGGGTGATGTCCCATTCCAGTCACACACTGGTAGCAAGGACACAGCGGGGGTCGCTGTATCGAAGGGGGGCTAGGGCTTGGGTCGTTGATGCGCAGAGGGCTGAATCTGATTCGCGGAGACTCGGTAGAACTGTGGGGGGATTTGTTGCTTGAGCTGGCAGGGCTGAAGACGTCTTCGTCTTCACTGATGGTTTTGTAGCGTTCTCTGTCGGGCATGTCGAATTTGAACACTTGCGGGCGGTACTGGTGCGGAGTTTTGAGCTCTTCGAGTTTGATGTTGTCGCCTTCGTTGTTGTTGTACAGCTGCTGGACGTTGTTGCTTGATGGAGGGGTTTCTGGAGAGGGTTCGTTGTCTTGGGGCGGCGTTCCTCCACCTGAAACAAAAGAAGTCCGTGTGAAAAAAAGTTTTTGATGAATCGAGATGAAATTTTTGGTGATGAACAATACTCATTTCGTTAATTATTACTATGTTCAAGGCTGACAATTTAGAAACATGTATCATTTTTACTTACCGGTAAGTTTATCGAGGACCTGGCTAAGCCTCTTCCGTTTCTTCGACTTTGCAGCCATTCGGTGGTTGTGATTGACGACGAGGGGGTGGTTATTGTTCGCCTTGTCGTGGGTGGAGGCGGCAGATTCGATAGCGCTCTCGGCCATAGTCATTGACGCGAGGCGGCAGAGGGCCGCGGATCCTACGTACTCCGGACTGGGACCTTTAGGGTCGATGGCATACTCCGGGAACTCCGGGAGATTCAGCGTGGGGCGGACGGGTGGCGGTAAGCTGATTACTGAAACAAAAAGAAGAGTCCGTTAGAAATATCTGGAAATAATTCATTCAAATTTGAGCAAATATTTAGAAATGTTATCCGAGGGCAAATGCGGCCATGTCTCCATACAAAAATAGTGCTGAAGAATCCAGGAATCATTGGGAAGAATCCAGAACATATTTTGTGTTGTTTCTTAAAATATTTTTAAATTTCCACCCTTCCACAGTCTGTGAAATGAATCAGTATTGTTCAAAAGAGAATCTACTCAAATATAATGAAGGGCAAACTAAAAAATTAATTGTAAAAATTTGCTGCGTAATGTAAATTTCTAGAGGGTCTAATAAATGAATAATTTGTATTCATAAAATTTGCCTACTGAATAGAATGAATTGTAAAAATAATTTACATAGGTGTAGTTTCTTAAGTAAAATTTATCGACTCATAACACGCTTTAGAGGTTTATATTACGCACTAACCCTCAGAGGTGAACGTTTTTGTTCACATTCTATGTTTAGATATTTTTATTTCTCAAATTGTAGATATATTAAGCATAATTCCCAACATGGAGAAAGAGCTTGAGACCATTTGTTCGAAAAGTAAAAACGAATCAGTCAATAACTTCCCAAAGAAACTCAATTTCATGAATAGATATTTCAGGAAACGCAAAAATTTCTCAAAAAATATGAACAAAATCTTTTCTGATCCACATCAAGTGTGTTACTATCTGATGAATGCATTATTCTCAAATCATCCGCTACTGGTGATATTTTGAAATGTATTCATTACTTTAAATATACTAAACCGAAGACTGCGAAGAACGGTGATGAAATATTCTTACATATTACTAACTTAAAACTTATGGGTACATTTATAACTACCATGTAGCATGTGCACTGTAAGTCCTACCATAGTTTTGCCTCATCAAGACTGATGACTTTCAGAGGCTTTGCTTGAAGACTGGCAGTAAACAAATCTAAAGAAATGAACTTTAAACGTTTAAGACAGTCTCTGATGACTGATGACGTTTACTGCAATTGTAGGCAAAACTTAAGAAATTAGAACCTTAACACCACATCAAACAAACACGAAAAATACCTCTGACACCCTTATCTTTCTCCGTAAAAGCTCAACTCATCTATCTGGAAAGTGCAGTTAGACAAAAGAATTGAAGCTATTCACAATTTCAGGTGAAAGTTTTATAAGAGCACGAAAAGGAAGTTGTGGAGGAAAGGTATGTTTTCGTGATTTGAATAATATACTTCGTAATGTTGATTGTCGTGTGATCTTTTTGTCACCTTCCTTTGTTGAAATATCCTGTTGACAGATTGTCGGATAACTGGCGCATTCACCAAAATCTGAGTCATAACAGTTTCAAAGTTTTATTATAAAGTAAGATTTTGTTGGAATGAACTGCTTTATTGTTTCTGACTTCAAGAATGACACAATTGTTTTTCACTCTGGAAATGATAATTCAAAACATGATTTGAGGTTATGAAACTTGATAGGCGATAAATCAGAAAAAAATTGTATTTTTTGAATTGATCGAATACTGTTGGCGAAAAAATTGTATGCCTTTAAGCATCAGTTGTTCTTTGATACTTGGTGGCGTCATATCTAGTGAAGCCAGAAAAAACAAACTTCTTGGAAGTGGTTGGTGAACAAACAATTATTGTGAGATTTGTAAATGGATTTTCAAGTTTGTTTGAATGCGATTGACAATGTTTCGTCGTGTATTTCATCAGTAATATAATAGAAATTATAAAGAAGAAGTTATAAAGAAATAACATACAAGCAACAATCAAAAAATGAAAAAAAATTGAAAAGTTAATACAAACTGAAAATTAAAAAATATTATCAACAAGAAATGAAACTTGAAATTAAAATATTTCAAACCAAGTTACGTCACGACGTTTCGATTGTTATTATCCACAATCGTCTTCGGGTGATAACTGGACTTATTCCCCGAGATCTGACTATTCATAGGTCATTCGAGTGCTTTCACCTATCCCCTCTTCCCTCTCACCACTTCATTGGTTTTAGCGAGAGATGACCGTTTGGCGGGAGTTGGTCGTTTTTCGCTTGATTAGATGTTGCTATATGTTACGTATCTCTACGCTAGCTTGACTAAATGCGTGGTTGGACAACATATACGCGGCTTCTTTAAATTTTATCCTAAACCAGTGTTCCTCCTTGTGGATGATTTCAGTTTGAGCCCACTTGATGTTATGTTGATGAGTCCAAACATGCGCTGCTATTCCTTATTTGCTGGTTTCTCCACGCTGTGTGTGTTTCTTGTGCTCAGCACAATGGCCTCTTAGTTCACCGGTTATGATTCTCCGCAATGGCAGGGTATCTGGTAAATGCAATTTTTGGAATCGCAGTCCGCGTTTGGTGGCCTGGTTTTCGTGAGGCTGCTACGGATAGTGTTCCCAGATCTGAAACTGGTCCTGATATTATACTTGGACCCAATCTTTCTTTCCGATAATACTCTGATGTAGGGTAGTACAAGTGTGGTTGTGGAGACTTCTCTTCCTTGTGGAGCTCCTGCTGTCTTCAAGCTAAAGCCTGTTCTACCATCACTCTGGAGTAACCATTCCGCTGAAGGTCATTTTTGATGATGCCTATTTCCTTTTCGAAATCTTTCTTTGTATGACAGAGTCCGAAAGCACGGTCTAATAGAGTCTTGATGATTCCTCTTCTAGTTGATTGATGGTGGTTGGATTCATGGTTCAGATACTGTCCTGTGTGAGTGGGTTTTCGATATACAGATGTTTCCCATTTAGTGTCGGTCCTCTTCACCAATACGTCTAAGAAAGGCCATTTATTGTGGACTTTCTTCTCCATTGTGGAAGTTATGGAAGGACTTACGTTATTGATGTGCTTCAGGAAAGTGCATGTCTAGTTCTGCATTCCCATGGTTCCCAAGTTGAATTTTTGAATACTGATTCACCTAAATAGAACTTTTTGACACTCAATGTTCATGCAAAATCGAGCTCGTATTGAACATAGTAAATTATGCGCCAGGAGAAACTTTTTGAAGATCTTGCACTCATCATATCACAATTTTCTCCGAAGATATTTCATTCTCGAAAGTTGAATGAAGCGATTGTATACATTTTTTTCGGGTTCATTATTTTCTGAATTCGTACATGCATATTTGTTTTTTTTTTTTCTGGCAACTATCCACTTAGTCAGTTACTAAGCAGCTCTTGATTATTTCAGTAGCTCCATCTGGAGTTCATTTGATATAAATATAGTTTAAACCAACTAATAAACACGCTTTTAAAGAACATCGAACTGAAAAGTTAAAAATATTTTTTCAATAAGCTCAAAACAATGTATTATTGAATAATACTAGTTTTATTATGGAAAAAGGGACAGGCGCTTGATATACAAAAAATATGGCACAAAGCGCCCATGCTTTTTTCACAATGATACTAGTATTTTTCGTTCGTTATTGTTTTAAACTTATTGAAAAAAAAATAACTTTTCAGTTCGATGTTCTTCAAAAGCGTGTTTTTTAGTTTTTTAAACTATATTTATTTTCCATTTCTTAGTTTTGAATGCTATAAAAGCGTGTTTTCAAATGAAGAAATACATGTAAAGTGAGTTCGAATTATATCAAGGAGGTAACGTGCAGCGCCATCTGCCCGCCAGTAGATCAAGCAATAATGTCGATAATTCTGTCAAATACAGATCCCGAGCATTCAAATGGGAAAGAAGAGTTATGAACAAACATATATACATAGAGGTGAAGCTAATATAAAGTGTATTGATTAAAAACATAACGGGTAACCATCGTAAGTCGGTTCGAATATTTTTTTACAAAATCAACAGTCTTTTGTATACCCGAATGAAAAAGCTGTTGACCACTATGCTCACCACAAAAGTATCATAAAACAACAAAGCTTCTGCTCACATCATGTTTTCACTTCCTGCAAAACTCCTGCCTACCGCTGAACAGAAGATTTTCGGTTGTTCATCGCCTCGGGAGCGACAATTAGAGTATGGCGTGAATTTTTGTATACTTTCAAGTGAGTGGTATAGTGGCCCGATCGCACCTGATATCCGACCTCCTTACAAGGTATGAATGGATACGCAGAAGCCGAAAATTAAGGCCCTGCAGCAAGCACGCAACGTCTCGAGGAGTCGTAACACTTAAAAGTAGTGAGGTGGGGGGTATACTCGGAATTCGAAGTGTTTGCGGGTTTATATAATCTATGATGTGCGGAACAAGAATTGTTTGTATTGTTTTTTTAACGTGTTGATGATTTTCAGTTGGTCACACATGTATTCACTTGTTATTAACCTAAAAAGGGCATTCGTGCAATGAAGCAGCTCACACAAAATATAAAAATATAGGTATGGGACCTTAGGAGTATACTATTTATAATGATAGTAGTATAGTAGTAATAGTAGTATTTTATTCATCTTTCATATCACAACCCAACCAGCAAAATTGTTTTATAATTTCATGGTGCTACAACAGTTTTATTTTGTTGGTATTTTATAATTACTTCCAAAATGCTAATTGATTATATTAGACGAGCCGTGAATATAATACAGTTGTAGGCAATAAAAGTGTTTTATAAATTTGTCATAGAAACGTTTATAAAATAAAATTATAAATACGTTATAAAATAGTCACGAAATTATCACAGAAACTTTTTTACAACTAACTTATAAAACATATTCTCTTATAAAATCAAATTGTTTTGTAGAAGATTTACAGCACTTTTCTGTGGTTTGTATGCTCTTCATAAAACTATTTCAAGATTATTTTATAACTGCTTCCTGAAGTTTAAATAAAATTATTTTATTGGAATGCTTTCAAAAACAATTTTGTTTTCATTGCCATACTGTCACTTTAATGATAATTTCTCAAGTATTTCATAGTATGGTGTATTTACTACAATTCCAAAACAATAAAATAACTTACGAAATCAAATTGCTTTCTCTAATATATATATTTGCTATCGCCAAGACTTTACAAGAACCAGCTGACATTGATATTATGTGTAATGAAGTATAATTTGTCAAGTTTTATTTGACTAGCGTCCCAATAACTATATGCCTAATAACGTCGTGTAATATTGGTCACTGGAAAAAAATTAAGAAAAGTGGTTCGTTTTAGACGAAGATTTCGAAAACCATTGATGCTGTGCGCGAACTGATATTGCAAGATCGTCATGTGACCTATCGTGAGATTGAGACAACCTTAGACATTAGTGGGACCAGCATACATTTGAAATTGCATAAACATTCGACTGTCAATAAAATTTGTTCGCATTGGATCCCACACAATTTGTCAATCACTCAAAAAAAGGCTCGTGTCGATTGGACGAAGGAAATGCTCAAAAAATACGATCGCGGTGCTTCGAAACACGTCTATGACATCGTGCCAGGTGATGAATCGTGGATTTACGCGTATGAGCCCTAAAGTAAATAGCAGTCGACTGTATGGGTGTTTCAAGATGAGCCAAATCCAGCAAAAGTTGTTCGCGCACAAAGCACTTCCAAGCAAATGGTCGCCTGGACATGTCGCAACCGTACCACTAGAACGACGCAGAACAGTCAATTCTGAGTGGTACACAACCATTTGTTTGCCAGTTTTCTTCCAAGAAATCAGGAAAACCAACCGCCGAAGACGGCTCACTCTTCACCACGACAATGCAAGCTCTCACACATCGGCTCAAACAACTGCATTTTTGAGCACCCAAAATATTGATTTGATGAGTCATCCGCCGTATCTTCCTAGGCACCGAATGACTTTTTTAATTCCCGCACGTAAAAAACAAACTGAGAGGTCAACGTTTCCCGACACCTGAAGAAGCAGTTGCTGCATTCAGGATGCATGTTTTGGAGAAATACTTTGCATGGCAAAAATACTTCAATAATTGGTTCAAACGCAACGCATGCAAAAGTGTACAGATCTTCATGGGGAATATTTTGAAAAACATTACAGTGATTTTCAATGACTAATATTTGTTTTTGTTCTCTAATCCCGAAATATAAAAGGCAACCCTCGTATATAAACATTAAAATGGGTATAGTGAGCTATCTTTGAGAAGTAGACATATGCCTTCGCGGAATTTTTGGTACAACTATAAAAGTAAAACAGTATATTTTTGCAGTGCATATGAAAAACTGTCAGTCGACAGAAACGAATGAACCTGTCACCGTCGGGCAGGCCCGGTAGCGAGTTGCTCCACCTTGTACCTCGATGTCTGGGCTATCGCACCTGATACCCGACCTCGTTACGGAATATGAATGGAGATGAAGAGACAGAAGCAGAAGCGAAAGATGCTTCAGCACGCACGAACCACCTCGAGGACGGTGTCGGGCACGACCACAAAATCAACAGAAAACTAACCAACTATGTAGGTACAGATTGGACGGGAGTTGCCGTGGTGATAGTTTGGTAGCCAAGGGCGTATCTAAGGGGGATGATGGGGGTAATTACTTCTTTTTACAGACCAACAAAACGGGTAGATAATTGGAAAAAATCTCAGGGATTGACCGTACATTTGCAACGGATACTACTGTAGGGTCTTCCAACTGGGACTTTCTAACTTTGACAATTGATGACGGCCATCTTGTTGAATCTACATCTGTCAAATTAGTTGTCATTTATTCAGTCTGTTTTGCCAAATCACAATGGAATCGAAGTTTGGCCAGCAAACCCTCATGCCACACTCGGTCAAAGGCAAGCGCAACAGCTCTTGACTCTCTTTGTTTCTCAGTTGCGTTATTCCATATATAATAATATTGATGTTTATTCATCATACCAATTCACATGATTTATATAAGATTTATGAATGAATAAACAAGAAATCACAGAAGCTCTAAACGTGGTTGTCAGTGATAAAATATGAAGACAATATCCGTAGAATTACATTGGAGAAATATAAACTATTAGGGGAGACCGGGGCAAGATGAAGTTCGGGGCAGCACGGGAAGTAAGCTTGTGTGCGTGAATAGTAATCGTGTTCGGAGCGGCGACAGCGCCATGAGTTTTAATCTTCCTCTTTGAAGATGATCACTTGGTGATCGAAACACGTGTCGAGGTGTTAAAAGTAACGATTTGGTGTTGGAAAAAACTCCAGTAATATTCATTACTACACCAAAGGTCCCAAACAGTGCATCACTATTATATATAATTTAATACTGTAATACATAAGGTTACATACTAGCGAGTAGTGAATGAGAGGAGAGATGATAGAGTATAAAAAGTAATCATCATTCGAGTCGACCAACAATGTCTTCACGAAATATTTTCCGGGGTTCTTTGTTCATGAAAGATTTCAGTTCTATTTTGAAACGATGTGGGTTCTTAATCAATTTTATTTCATGTGGAAGTGTGTTGTATAATTTTGGAGCGAAGTATTTATATGAATGTTGGGATATTAGTTTTTGAATTTGTGGTGTGACATGTTGATTTTCGTTTTTGGTGGTAATACATATTTATTTTTAGGAAAAAGAGTTGGTGGACGTCAAATACATGACAATCTGCATAGAGAGCATCAGATGGAAGAGTGGGTTATTTTTTTGAAATAATTTTTAAAAACCATCTTTGAAGGACTTCTATAGGGTATAAATGAGTTTTTGGTGCACTACCCCATACTAATAATCCGTATCGAAGATGGCTCTCTACAAGGGCATAATACAATGTTTTCACTTGCTTTAGTGGTAGTAACGATGCCAGTACAAACTTGTGAAGAATCAATCTCAGCTTTTGGCATAGATATTAGATATGAACGTTCCACCTGAGATGCATATCTATGTGTACTCCTGAATATTTTGAAAATGTTGCTAATTTGATAAAGAACTGTTCTGTTGGAATGTTAACTTGAATTTTATCGAAGTGAGTAATTTATGATTCAGCCATTTCCAGATTATACGAATGTCTGATACAACTATGTCCCTAAGTATGTCTCAAGAATTGCCTTCGTAAAAAATGGCTGTATCATCAGCGGAACCTAGGATATCCCCCCTAGCCTTCAGAAAAAACATACCATTCACGTAAATAATAATGAGAAGTGGTCCCAGAATTGTTCCCTGAGGTACTCCATACTGAATAGTGCTGGAATTGCTGCAGTTGTCGCCTATCTTCACGAATTGGTGTCTGTGTTGGAGATAAGATTTGAATAGTTTCAAACTATTACTTCTGACTCCGATATCTTGTACGGTTTCAAGCAGTAATTGATGACTCACCGTATCGAAGGCCTTGGAAAGGTCCACGAAAACACATGAGCATGGTTCACTTTCCTCCATGAAATCAGATACCTTTTGGATTAATTTCAATATAGCATCTTCGGTTGATTTTTGTTTTCTGAATCCGGTGACATACGAAAGACATAAGATAGAAGGTCGCCTGTTGATTTTTATTTTCGAAAGCCTCATTGATATCGCTCAAGATGTTGAAGCCTTCCAAATATTTGAGGATATGTGGGTTTACGTCTTTCTCCATGGTTTTTGATATCACTGATAGCAACTCAACTCATTCGATTGTTGATCTTGGACGAAAACATTCACAGAAATCACTGTTCAGTAAGCTGTCAATTTTTTGGATGTATAGCTGACAAACTCTTGATTGATTTATCCAAAAAATGATGATTATTTGAGTCGTTTGAATATTTTCACGTACTATTCTACATTCTTTTCAAAAACTACACCTCACGATTTGATCTCCACAATCGCGAGGTGTACTTTTTGAAATTACTATAGATCTTCATCAAGTAACGGCTGAATCAATCAGAAAAAAAATTCTACATTTGATATTACTATTAGAATTTTCCCAACTATCATCGGAATTTGTATGAAACTCACAAGAACAAACCTTCCTTCATGAACACAAAATTAAACTTCCGTCACCCAGAACGATATTTCGCGGATCGCTCCATCCGCGAATCCGCTGAAAAACAAACGAATTTCGACGGCGGTGCACTGCGGCGGGGGCGGGCGCATTGCACTCAGACACACTGCAGTGCGGTGGAGGCGGCGGTTCAACCACTGCAAGCCATTTACCGCCGGCTTTACGAGCCGAGCTGCGGATACGCTATTATTTAGTGTTGGCAGCGTCAAACATATTTCCGAAGACGCGGAAGGACTCTTAATACAGACAAATTAGCTGCGAACGTGTAGACAAAGTATCGCATTTCGACGAAAGAAAATAAAAGCTTTTTGTTTCGGTCTCTTTTCGGCAGTTTCTCGGTGGGGAAATGCGGATCCGGCACGTTTCCTCTGCAAGAATCATATTCCCGAAATGGGTGATCTGGCGACGATATTATTGTGATTTATATTTTGAATATTGTCTAATTCTACGGAAGCGCAAAAGGGCCACATATTTTTATTATTTGTTTCTTGAAAATTACGACTTTGAATCTCGAAATTTCGACTTAAATCTCGTAATTTCGACTTTAAATTCGAAATTTCGACTTTAATCTCGAAATTTCGATTTTAATCTCGAAATTTCGACTTTAATCTTGAAATTTCGACTTTTAATCCCAAAATTTCGACTTTTAAGTCGAAGTTTCAAGTTTAAAGTCGTAATTTTAAAATTACGAGATTAAAGTCGAATCATATTCCCGAAATGGGTGATCTGGCGACGATATTATTGTGATTTATATTCTGAATATAGTGTAATTCTACGGAAGCGCAGAAGGGCAACATATTTTCATTATTTGTTTCTTGAAAATTACAATTGATACAATTGTCGTTTTAAGTATTTAATATAGATAAACTTCGTCTGTTACACTAGGTAATTGGGACAAATCTTTTGAAAGTTATGACGACAAGATTAACTTGACGCAACGCAGTAAGCCATTACGCGTCGCGTCTACTGTAAGACGACGGGGTACGGTGTGCGGGGGTAGGAAGGAGGACTAAGCACCATCGCCGAAAACGCGACCCGAAGGCGGGCAGACGTCGTTGACGGTCGTGTTAGTTTTGCTAATTTCTTTATAGACGAAATGATTCGATTATAGAAGCCATTTATTACTTAGTGCAGTTGGCATATTTTTTTCAGGTACTGTATTTTTCAAATATAAATAACTAGCTGTTGCCCTGACTTATATTAACGTACAGTCGAAGTTTCTGAACCTAGAATCTTGATATACGCAGGTAGGTTCTTTGTATAGCATCAAGAAAGGGTATCAGGAATTTCCACCCCCAAAGGGCAAAAATAGGGGTCGAAAAATTGTATTGAATTTCGTCAGTTTTGAAGTTGGAAACCTGAAACTTTTGGTTGATAAAAAAATGTAACCATTTATTCAAAATGGTCTGTCACGAAACTTAAAGTGACAAACCAAATTCTATGCGGGCGAAGCCGCGAGCAATAACTAGTAGGTATCATACACTGAAAAGTTGTTATGGAAATTATTAGTTTTGAATTTGTGACGAACAGATTTGAAATAAATATCAACATGGATTACAGAAACTAGTTAGTAATTGATGGATAATTGTACGAATTAAAACTGTCAAAAAAATGCTAAAAAAAGGGGGTAATAAAAGTAATGATTCAAGAGGATGTAGGTTAATTTAGGTTGTTTATACAGTTATTGTAACTGTCAGAGATGAAAGTCAATACGATTGTTGACGAAATACATATTTTTCAATGGATGGTTTCCTGTACAATCTCGAATTTTGTTTTCTCTTACAGTTCCTGTCAGTTTCATTATGACAGTCGTATTCAATACTGATAATGTCCACAGCTGAAGCTGAATGAAGCTGAAGTCATAACTTTGAAACCATCCACTATCAAAAATTCGAAACATTCGACAGATCCAAATAACTTTGTTGAGAAAAACTCTCTAAGAAGAGAAAATTTTCATCATCATTGCAGCGCATACCCTTTAAGGTATACAGAGCTTTCTAAAACATGCTCTACACCGGCAAAATCTGAATATAGACGGATACCGATGTGGATGCTCATAAAAACCACCCACCTTCCTTTACTTGAATATTTTTAAGCAGTTTCTCCTTATAAGTATGACAAACTGGACATAGCGTATGTGTTTAAATCCGCGTACCGCTTTGAATACAAATTCGAGGCGGTTATCTTTTCATCTTCTTGCGACAGTTCACTTTTAAAACGATTCTTTGATTGGTATCACTTGAATGGAGTCGCGTATGATAATGATGTGAAAGACGTCTATTTCTATGCTACGAGCCAGTGAATATATGTTTCATTATCAGAAAGGTAAGGCCCATTCATATTGTGGTAGAATATCTGTTGAGAGATGAATAATGAAAAGCACAAATAAGTGTTTCGACTGAACCAGAAGTATATTTTCTCATAGAAATGCAAAAAATTCTAGGAGATGAAAAACTCCTAAAGACGCCAGCTTTGTTAAAGAGTATTGCATTTATGATGATTGGA